AGACCAGCAATGACTAAGAACCCTTTGACCTTAGTCAATGAGACCATAGAGGTTGAAGATAATGACATGAAAGAACTAGGAATGAATGAGAGAAGTTGTGAAGGATGTTTGAGTCAAAACACATGGTTCTTCAGAGCTGTTAAGAAACTTAGTAAAGAACGACAGAAATATTTTATAGAGAAGTATTGCAAAGGATGTGTAAATGAATTGCTTGAAATAGAACTTAGAGACACTTTCACACTAAAGGACTTGAGGAGAAATAAGTACATGAGTGAGGACGGTATTGACATAGCTAGTGTTATAAATGACTTAAGAAGATGTGTTGTTGTTATTGACGGAGCACGTATGACATATCTAGTGAAAGATTATGATGGAATACGAGACACAACAACACTTGTGTCAGTAGATAGCAAGGAATTCAATAAGCTCATGAAGAGTATTTATGTAGGACGTATTGAGGAGAAGGATGTGAACGCACTGATGATTTATGAAGCGGGTCAGAACAAGAACTATCTTATGAAGTCAGGCATGAGATTCTTTGACGAAAGAGATGACATTACAGCTATTTCAGAGGATATGAGTATGAGGTACTGAATGAAGTAGATGAAAGCGTTATTGAAGGATATTTGAAACATGTTCACGATGTCATATGTAATGAGGATGAAGAGCTTTATGAGTATGTTTTTGAACTGGTTCGCCTACATCGTTCAAAATCCTTGTGGAAAGACTGGAACAGTACTTTTGTTAATAGGAAAGCAAGGAACTGGTAAGAATGTACTTAGTAATGTTCTATGCGAGCTCATTAGCAAGTACGCCAACAATAATATAACGGCAATAGAGAATGTGGTTGGTAGATTCAATGCTGCTATTGAGAACATGAAGCTCATCGTATGCAATGAACTAAGCTCATGCGATACGTCTAAGGTCATGAACCACGACGCACTAAAGTCAATAGTAACAGAGACTCAGTTGGACTTAAATCAGAAGTGTCAGCCAGTAAGAAAGATAGAGAATGTTTGTAATATCATCATGATATCTAACAACTTCAACTCAGTAAAGATTGACAAAGACGACAGAAGATTTGTTGTCATTGACGTAAGCAGCAGATACAAAGGAAATTACGAATATTTCTCAAATCTCATTGAAAGCTTTAATGAAGAGTTTTATTCAAACTTACTGACGTACTTCATGAAGAAAGATTTAAGTGAATTTGATGTAAGGAAGATACCATTCACCAGGGCTAAACAAGAACTCATCGAAATGAACAAAACACCTTACCAAATGTTTTACGAGGAGTTCTATGAAAAGTTTGTATCCGGATGGAATTGTACAGAGTGCTACAGAAGATATAAAGAATTTGCGAAGGAGAATGAATTCTTTGCATGTAGTTCAAATGTATTTGGTGGCAAGATGAGAGAATTTGTGAAGAGAAGTAGAAAGCGAGACGGTTCTGCAAGAAGTTATATTTACGAAGCAAGTATGATCTTAGAAGGTCGTGGAAAGAAAGAAACAGTGAATTATGAGGAAGTGCATGAAAAATTCATGGAGTACATGGGAAGCAATATAACATACAACAAAGACATATACAGTGAGTTTAAGTACTACTGTGAACAGCATGAGATTGAAGTAATGAGTAAAGGAGACTTTGAAACGCTTATGAAAGACAGTAAGGAGGTCGTTCATGAGAACAGTGTTGAAATAGTTCATGAGAACAGTGAGGAGGTCATACATGAATGCAATGATGAAATAGTTCATGAGAACAGTAAGGAGGTCATACATGAGAACAGTGATGAAATAGTTCATGAGAACAGTGAGGAGGTCATACATGAGAACAGTGAGGAGGTCATACATGAGAACAGTGAGGAGGTCATACATGAGAACAGTGAGGAGGTCATACATGAATGCAATGATGAAATAGTTCATGAGAACAGTAAGGAGGTCATACATGAGAACAGTGTTGAAACGCTTATGAAAGACAGTAAGGAGGTCGTTCATGAGAACAGTGTTGAAATAGTTCATGAGAACAGTGAGGAGGTCATACATGAATGCAATGATGAAATAGTTCACGATGTCGTTCGTGAAGAAGCCATTGCAACAAAGAATGAGATAAAGGATTTCATAGAACTTAACAAGGAGGAGTTTAAAGAAGGCTATGAAGTGAAAAGATGTGAAGAAGATTTCTTGGCGTATTTGAAGAAAAAGAGACTAAAGCCAATGGCTCAAAATAAGTTTCAATCGATGTTTGAAAAGAAACGTTTGAGCTATGGTGGTGTAAGAAGCACATATTACTTTGTTAAGAAGTGAGGACATTTATTTTTGTCGTTAGTGTTGGAGTTTGTGTTTGTTGTTAGTGAGAGAATAAATTAAATCATGAACTTTGCCATGGTCTCTGTCCCTAGTAGTTTTTCATTAAGTTCTGGAAATAATGAAAGTCATGAACTTTGCCATGGTCTCTGTCCCTAGTAGTTTTCATTAAGTTCTGGAAATAATGAAAGTCATAAACTTTGCCATGGTCTCTGTCCCTAGTAGTTTTCATTATCTCACAGAGTTAATGAAAGTCATACTTTCTATCAGATGAAGCATGCAGATGAACATAATGAAAGTTAATGAGTTTGCCACGAGTTATGAATAAAATATTGGCATATTAGATGAGATAGCTGATGAAACAGATGAAGATAAATTAAATCTTGGACTTTGCCACACTCTGTCCCTAGTTCCTCAAAATCCTTGACAACGTTGCTTAGAAATTTTGGTTCAAAACCTCATCTGATTTTAATCTGTTATGCTACCTGTTAAGTTTCGCGAGATTATAAATGTCATGGAGTTATATAAAAAGGAGGGACAGCTAGGGACACTGGAAGTACTTGTAAGGCTATCTGTTAAGATTGCATGAAATACTAAAAAGTCATGAAATCCATTATCGCTGTGCTAGCTTCACCTTAGAGTAAAATGACAAATAAAGTCACTGAAGCAATGAAACAAAAGTTTTTGGTAGAATACATTAAATCAGGAACTATTCCAGAAGGTTTTTACATTCATACTATGAAGGATGGTAGAGTTCAGTTTAGAAAGATAAAGCAACCATTAGATAGAGAAGGTATATTAAGGAAGATTAAACTTCATGAGGACAACATTGCTGAACTTAGGAAGAAGTTAGAAGAGTTGGATAAAGGAAGAGAGTTATAAAGCAATGAATTCAACAGGGTGAAAAAACAGGTGAGATCTCACCACTTCACCTAAATTTATTTTTGTGCTATGTTTTCATACGTGTGAGGGTGGTGATATCATTAATTTTTAAGTTTATTTTTTATTTTATTTTTATGTAAATGACGAAAACTATTGAGATAACAAACTACAACGGTCATGAGTTCAAGAATTTGTTCTTCGTTCCTCGTGAAAATACATTCTATCAGATACGAGGGAGAAAGGGTAAAGTTAGTTTGAGCGTTTATGAAGGAATGAAGAATGGAAAGTTTATACAAGCATACGATACAAACGGTAAACGTGTTTCATTAGCTTTGTCAAAACTTACTAACATTTATTTTGACAGTGACTTTGACTCTGACGATTGGAGCGACAGCAGCGATACTGAAGAATATGAACTATTGTGTGAAGCACAACAATGGGAAGAGTTGCAATACTTTTGTAAGTGAGAACGTTTATTTTTTACAGTAGTGAGGTGAAGTGGTTGGCGACTTTATAAATATTTAAGGTTAAGTTGGTGTTTGTGTTTGTGTTGTAAAACATACGTTAACGGTTTTGTAAAGTGTCAAATTCACAAGTATTGCGTATGGAGGAACGCAGTGCCTCCGTACACGAGACTTGTATACTAACTATTCTCTCTGCAAATCGTTTGATTGCACGTGGTTTTTGAGCGTACATCTCTGGAATGGACGGACCTGTAAGAGGAATTTCAAGATCTTTGAATGCATTTAGCTGTGCTATCGCTCTTTGATTGTCATCTGTTTGGAAGTAATGTTCTAAATATTTGCGATAAAAGACAGACGAATATTGACTTTTGTCATTTGGGGCGGAATGATCATGTTCTTCAACTATTTTGATTAGTTTGTATTTATTTTGATCCAATATTGCAACATTAAAATGTGCAGGACATTTTGGATATTTGCAGTGGAATGAAATCTGAGATCTTTCTTTCCTGACACGTTCACCATATCCATACTGTGCTTGTATTTCTTGTTTAACTCCAAATTTACAAAGATCCATAACAGTAAAGATAGTTTCTTCTTCTAATTTCATTTGAAATTGAAATGAAAATTAAAAATTCAGAAATTTGAATAGATTTGGTCTGTAATTAAATGAGAATAGCAGTTTGTTCGTCATTGTTTGAGGCAAGAGTATTATAGGAATATTATATGATGGATTTGAGTTGCATATAAAGAGTGCAAAAGGATAAAGAGAGAAATTTTGTTAGATTAAATTATTAAATTTTAATTTTTTATTTTTTAGGATTGTTAGCTTTGTAAGATTGCTTTCTCACAAGAGAAAACAAGTATAAGGTTTAAGCTGTATGTATTAAAGTTATAAATATTTGATTTTAAAAAAAATCAAGATTTTAAACTTTAAAGGTATTAATTATGATTATCTTTCTTTAGCTTTACATGCTGTATGCTACTTTTGGAAACTGCTCTATTGTATTAGAATGTTTTTAAATTTTGCACCTAAAAATGCGTAATATTAAAAATTAAGGTATTAATTATGATTATCTTTCTTTAGCTTTACATGCTGTATGCTACTTTTGGAAACTGCTCTATTGTATTAGAATGTTTTTAAATTTTGCACCTAAAAATGCGTAATATTAAAAATTAAGGTATTAATTATGATTATCTTTCTTTAGCTTTACATGCTGTATGCTACTTTTGTCTTTGAGACATTCCATGATTTAAGTTAAGAAGCTTTAAAAAAATGCAAAAAAAATGAATACTTTACTGGCTGGGCAAATTTGTCGCCCCCAAAAAAAAAACGTTTTTTCAAAATTTTATATGACTGATCAACCTTCTGAAGAAGATGACTGGAACATGTTCAAAGATGTTGGTATGCGACAGCTTACTGTTCCAGAAATCGAAAAAATTTACCAATTTTCTGGTATTATTGCTCAAAACAGAAATGCGAGTGTTAGATTAGCAATTCATATCATTACAGGTGATAAAGTCGCCATTAAAATCCTTAACAAAGTTCAATTACGCGAACAACACAAAAAAATCTTACTTCTTCGTGAAATTTCAACACTTCGATTATTAGGTGATTGTAAACATGTTACAGAGTTATATGATGTTATAGATTCAGGCGACAGAATATGGGTCGTCCTGGAATACGCTTCTGGTGGTGAACTCTTCGATTTTATTAAAGCAAAAGCTCCTCTTACAGATTCAGATGCAAGAGAAGTCTTTAGGCCTATCGTTAAGGTTGTAGCTTATATGCACTCACTACATTGCGTTCATAGAGATCTTAAGCTAGAAAACGTACTTCTTGATGATCGAGGCCAAATTCGTTTAGCAGACTTTGGTTTTTCAAGATATTACGACCCAAAAGACGGTCTAATTGATTCAGTTTGCGGTACACCTCACTACTCACCACCAGAAATCATTAAAGGTATTCCACACAACCCAATTTATGTAGATTCATGGTCACTTGGTGTTATTTTATATATTACACTATGTGGCGATTTCCCGTTCAAAGGACTTTCGATTCCTGAGTTACTTCAATCAATTGTCAAAGCAGATCTTAAAATCCCACCATTACCAACAGAATTAGCCACAGATTTACTCAAAAGATTACTCAATCCAAATCCAACGGAGCGTCCTACACCAGCAGAAATCATGAACGACCCTTGGATTAATAAAAACATATTGCCAAAGCCTCCTGTCAAAGATTACACGGCCCGTATCAACAGAGCTGCATTGCATGTTATCAAAGACCTCGGAGTTCTCAAGGATGGCCAAGAAGATCATATGGATGTCGATCAAACAATTACATATCGATTAATTCGTAGAAAATACCAGCTTGGATACGTCAATTTACCAAATGTTGGCCTTGCCAGACCATCAGAACCACTTCCATCCATTACTTCTACGAAGCATTTACCTGCGATTACTCCTCCTGTCAAAGTCCGGCCATTACCATTCGGAATGACATCCCCACAAGCAAAGGAACGACTTCCCAGTCTCGAACCATTCCTAAAAGTCTCGAAATTACGTTGTAAATCCGCTCAAAAGAAGCAAAGATCCGTTGCAACCAAAAATCAAACAATTACGAGGAATATCAGGCAAGATCAGATGATGAGGTTCCTTTCTCTGTTCAAAGATGTTGAGCTGCCTATATTGAACTGCCAGCACACGACACTCGACGATCCACAAGTTTTATGGGAGAAATTATTTGCATTTATGTCAAAAGAAGAGAATATTGACATTGTAAGCGAATACGACTTCTCATTATACTGCAAGATAAAGGGAGAACATGAAGTTTATTTCTCTTTGACAATGGGATGCGTTCATCGCGGATTTGGCTTAATTGGATTTACGATCCAAAGAATCAAGGGCGACCAATATACACTGGATGACTTTGAAGGAAGACTCTGCGAGTTCTTAGGCTTTTGAATGTATTTTTTTTTGTTATGTATATATTATTTTCGATTTTTATGTTATTTTTATCCATTAGTTTGTTATTTATTTAATAAATTGTTGTTGTTACTACAAAATTACTTCTTTATTTATTTTTTCGACCTTCAATTCCCATCAATGACAAAAAATGATTAATGACGTTTAATATGAATTATACCCTTAATTATTTTTTCCCTTTTTCCCTTCCTCCTATTTTTCCTTTTTTTTCCTTCTTAATTTCTACTTATTTATTCAATTCTTTTTAATCTCGAAATAAAAATGAAAATTGTTTTCATTGAAATATAGAATATATCTAAAGAAAATGTTCAGATAGCCTTAGGACAACATATTTTGCGACTAATTATTTTAATCTTGATTAATAATTAATTAAAAAATTTAAATTAAAGAAAGATGTTTAGTTTTAGTAATATGAGAATATGTTCTTGATTTAACCCAATTTATTGGTAATCTGAGAATCTGGAATAAAATATCATAAGGTAAACAAGTGAGATTAAGATTTTAGCCTATTTTGAGTAAATTAAATTGAATTTGCTTTGCCATATTTGAATGATCGCATTCTTTTTAGCATGATCATTATTATTTTATGGAAAAAACTTGAATTTAAGGAAAATTGAGAACTTTTTTTACGAAATTGAGAGGAAAAAATAGGGAAAGAACACCATAAATAGTAATTAAAAAAATGCACGTTTATTTGAGAGGAGGAGGATTAAATTTTTGAAAGCACTAAAATTTGTAAATATGCTAGTTATATAATAATATGCATTATTTTAAAAAATAAAAATTAAAACACGTTAAAATCTTTTTTGATGAATTTTTACAAAAGCTACTCAGGATAATGCAAGATATGAGTAGTTAAACATAAATTTCAAATCAGATTTTACTTATAATAAATATTTTAAATTTCCGAAAATTAAGTTCAGATCGACTCTATACGTAGTAAATACTAAATAAGGTGCCAAAAACCTATTAAACAGTATCAAAACTATCAAGATTGTAATGTTTTTGAAGAAAAATTTATAGAATTATGGACTTCAAACAGATATTATGTAAATAAAAATAATATAATGAATTTATTTATTCGTATAATAGCAGTAATAAGTCGATTATTCACTTCTACTTCTGAGATTTGAATTTAATTTCGACAGAAAAAGAGATTCAAGAGGAAAATACTAGGGGATACAAACAGCCACCATGACAGGATTATTATGGAGCCAAGTTGTATTTTTTGATATTTTTAGAGTTTTCCTACCTATTTAGGTACCAAGTTATTGCTTAAAAATTAAGGTTCTAAATTCTGAAGTTTACATGATCCTCCCGAGCGCACCCTTAAATATGAAGAAGAACCATTAAATCCTGGCTGTCTTTATATCTGGCCCTTTAAAAAAGCAGACTCATAAAATAACATAAAGAGTGCGGGACAAATTTGCCAAGTGTCACTTTTTAATAACCTTAAATTACGCTTTTCTCGTTTTTTTAAAAAATAACCTTAAATTATATTTGAAGAAATTATGTCTATGATATATGTTTTATGCTAGAATCTTGGAGTTTTCATGCACTACACAAGAGCTCCAAGGTTCCAAGAGTGAATGCTCAATAGCAATTATAGAGATGTACCTTTTCAAAATGACTTTTACTGATTAAATTTAATCAATAGAAGACATTTTGAAAAGGTATCTCTACAATTAGATATACAAGAGATTCAAAGCTTCATTTCAGATAGATTTGAAACTTTGAAACTCTTGGTAGATTTTGAGTGAATGCTGACAATCATCTTTGAGAAGGTTTTCTTAAAGAAAACCTTCTCAAAGAGGTTTCTCAGGAGCCCTGAGGCTCCCTTTCGTAATGATTGGGAGCCTTGGGGCTCCTGAGACGAAGAATGGCTTCGCCGAATCTTTGATCAGCAGAGGCCAAATGAAAAGGCCTCTGCTGATGGATTCTCAGGAGCCCTGAGGCTCCCTTTCGTAATGATTGGGAGCCTTGGGGCTCCTGCAGCAGAGTATCGCTCCGCTCCATTAATTTTCTTTAAAAAAAGTGCCGTGTGGCAAATTTGTCCTGTTCCCTAACATAAAAGCCTTGTTCGTTTTAGAAAGTAAATCTAAAATCTTGAGTCCAAGAAAAAATTTGAGGGTTTATTCTACACAGACATGTGATAAAGTACTTTTAACTCTCAACAATGCAAAATTTATCTTGATTTAAACATTTATTTGAATGTATATTTTACAATAACATTAAATCACCTTTTTTCATGAATATATATGCATTCATTATAAATCTGAATCAGAGTAGATACACTCTTCCATAAGTAACTTCTTACAAATCTCTTTATATGGAAAGATATTTTACAAATTTTCTTTAAAATGGAAAGGTATTCTAAGAAACACAAGTATACGTATGAATAATATTAATGTATTTATAAAAACAAATAGAAATAGAAATAAAAATAAAAAATTATGATTTTTGTCTAATTCAAAATCAAAGAGGAAGTTGGCAACGCTTCGTAATAAACAGAGCCACTTGCTTCAAATTTCATATAAGCTATGTTATTGTAGACCCTTAAAATTGTTGCATCAGGGTGATTTTGAATTGTAACGCGAACACGGTCTCCATTGAACAGTCTCTTGCGGTTTCCAGAGAAAGATTGGTTATCTGACTGCAATTTCATCTTAATTTCGCTTTTTTTGATGTTCTTTCTAGAAGATGTATTAAATCCAACAAAAACATCGTTTAAAATGTTTTGAATGCAATATATATTGTTGTCTTCAAGCATTACCAAATCACCAACCGAAATATTAATAATTGGTCGGAAATCAGTAAGAATTTTTGCGGCATGACGAGGAACAGTTAAACAAAATGAAGGAATCGATATAGCATACTTCTCATTAACATCTTTAGGCACAGAAATAACAGTTCCTGGTGCAATAAATTCAAATCCGACTTTGGCGTATTGTTTCGGAGTTTCAACGGGTTGTACAGGTGGAACAGTAGGAGTAGTAACAGTTTGAGGTGGTGGTGGCTGCTGTTTTGGTGGTGAAATAACATAATTAAGAATATTTTGCTGAACTGGCTGTGGTTGTGGCATAGAAATATTCTGAGGAGGAGCTTGCATTTTCTGCATTGGTATATTATGGTTAATAGCCATTCCTTGTGGAATAATATTCTGATTTTGAATATTTTGAACGCTTTTATTATATTCAGGAATGGTACGATTAACAGGAGGGATCATACTAGGCTGTACTGGCTGAATCATCAATGGCTGGGCAACATTTACTGCTTTTTGAGTTTTCTCCATTCGAATCAAGTTGTTTAAGTTCTGTGTTAATGTATTATTAACTTCTACCTTCCATCGTGAGTCGTGGAGATTGTTTTGAGCATTGACCAAATTAAGATTAGTATTTTGAGGCAAATTTTGACTAATTGCTGGAGGAACTTGAACAGGAGGTTGAGGCATTATATTGGTTACTTGAATTGGAGGTTTCTCGCTTGGCGGTTGCGGAGTAAGTAAAATATTTCTTGCTCCCGTATTCAAATCAGCAAAATCATCAGGGGATTCTTGGTCGGGAGGTACAAACTCATCATCTGAGCTTTCTGATTCTGATTTAAGTCCAATTTCAATTTGTTCATTGTCAGAACCAGAAATTTTCGACTTTTGCTGTTGCTGCTGTTGTTGCTGTTCAAATTTTGCCTTTTCAAGTATTTCAGGAGTGACATTTTTTACAAATAAATTATTTAATTTTTGTAGAACAGCAGGATCTGCAGTTGGATACAAAGGTTTGCTTTTCTTGGACTTCACAAACCCGATAGGATTAGTGGACGGCGTGAAACCATAATACTTTGTGACTAATTCATATAATCTTCTCGCGCTATTGGACATTTTAACAATTGACGCTCTTATTTTGAAATTATCAGTCTTCAGTTGACGATCGCGCATTTTAGAAGCGAATCTTGAAATATTCTTTTGATCAATCGAATATTTCCTCGACAATATTGATAATTCTTCCAAAAATGTGTTGAAATCACTAATGAACGTTGTATTGACTTCAAAAACTTTATGAAATTTCGGTTTTAATGCTGCAACTCCTTGTTGTAACACAGAAATGATCTTATTGAACTCAGTTTTAGATATTATTTCTCGGTTGGCTTGATTTTGATTATTATTTTGACTTGCTAATGGATTTGTATTCAATAATTTCTTCAATTGAATGGCAGACGGATCATTTTCGATGTTTTTATTGGTTAATGATAGTTCTGAATCAGATTCTTCGTATAAACCTTCAGAATCATTACTATTACCGAAAATTGTTGCTCGAGCTGCGGGTTCGTCTTTTTGAGGGATTCTAGTATACACAAGGTTCTTTAATTCATTTCCATAAATGACTGAACTCCATGTTTGTATCGAACTTAAAGGAACTTCCGTTAAAATGTGTTTACTTACGATTTTAAAGCCATGAAATAGATATCCTTTGACAAATTCTGACTGGTCAAATTTTGTATAAAAGCGTTCTCGTGATTTGCCTACGTAACTCGTCGATATCGTGTCTTGAGAAATAATAAAAGGATGTTTCTGTATTTCTTCTTCGAGAGAATTAAGTAATGTTAAACAAATTGCTCTTTTCTTTCTAAAACTGATATCTAAAACTATTGCTGGCGATTGATAAAATGGAGGAGCTGTAATTTTGACAATATATCTATTATTTGTATCTAAATGAGAGACAAATCGAGTAATACTACAAAATGTATCCATTATATCTAAAGATGATATTCGATTTGGTTTAAATTTATCCAAAAAATTTAAATTGGCGATTGGCTTCGCAGTTTCTAAATATGATTTATCTTTAGAACTAGGACATTCGTATAGTGAGCATGTTTCTAGATCTGAATAGTTATTTAATTGAAAATAAACTTTGTTGAAAGGAAAGTTAATACAATATATAAATTTAGAATCTAATTTTTGGAGTAATTTATGTTGCTCTGCGTAAACTGGTAGAACAGGATCGTCTGTACAAAATAAAGAATATTTATCGAGTTCTTTTGTAGTTAATGAATCAAACTCTACAAAATCTTTACATCCAACAATGTCAGGATGTTCCTCTGTTGATAGAAGTCTTGAAACTATCTTATCCATCGAGAGAGCAACAAAACTTCCTTTTTTTTACTTGTGAAAATTTTGAAAATCTAATTTCAGGCCTTATAGAGCTAATTCTTAAACATTTTGAAAAGCATTTGCTAAATTTACTAGGAAAATAAGAGAAATCACTATAAGATACGCAGAAATATATTCAAAATCATTCACAAGCATATCATGTGATTTATTGATCTGCAGTGTGAAGATATATATTTGATCAAATATAATTTGGGACCTCAGGTGGCTTCGCTTGCCCTTCGGGCAAGCACGCCACCTTCGGCCAAATTAAATAATTTTTTGAAAAATTGAATTATTCACTATTTGGTTGGCGCTTTGCGCCAACCAAATAATGAAGAATACTAATATATGTTTACTTAAAATATGATTAAAATTTCTGAACGAAAACTATCAAAAATAAGTCATAAAAAATATAAAAATAAGAATCTAATTTATTGTAGAATAAATATCCGCAAAGTCTTCTCAAAATCTCGATTGAAAGGCATTGAATTTAGTTTTGAGAAGACTTTTTTACATTTTGCGAATTATTAATTAGTATATCATTAAGATCATATTGTATTAAGTTATCAATTCTCTTAAATTTTGAAAGCTTAAGAAATTTAAAAGCACAAACAAATATATATTATTAAAATCATTGTATTGATCAATTTAAAAAATTTTGAAATTTTGAATTCGAATTTAAATGTAAGCTTTAATAGTTGTAACAGAATAGGAAGCATCACAGATGTCAATTTAGATTAATGAAAAGTTGAAATTTTTCCAATAAAATTTTATTAATGAAAAAAGATTCATGAAATACAATAATAGTAATATAGATATTTTATACAACATGTTATATAAGAGATCACTATAAATAGAATAGCTTTAAACAAAATAATCAAATCAAAATTTGTATTTGTAAACAGCAAGAGTGTTATATGCTAATATTATGTGTAACTACTCATTGGATAATGAATGCAATATAATACATTGATTTATTGGCTAAAGAAAAAAAATTATATCCTTCAATTTGGACAATCCGAAATTTTTCTCATTTTTTTGAATTGCATATATATGAATTTGCAATTGAGTGATATCAGCTAGAAACTTATATGCACGTTTAACTTTATCAGATTTCAAATAAAAACATGGATTTCATTGATTGTTTTTCAATACGAGCTCAACAAAAATGATACAAAGATGAATAAATAGTAGTGCCCCTAAAAACAAGGTAAAAAACAAAAAATTAGCATCAATATACTTAATTTCGGCCAATATGGTGAAAAGTGAATATGTCAAAAACATTTACTCCATCATCTTGTTATCTGTACCTCACGACAGACGAATATAAAGAGATATCAATTTCCAAAATTTTACCAAAAAGAGATTAGGCCTAATTTTTACGGCCAATCTTTATTATTTGTTACACAGATGCTAGATCCACTACTCCCCAAAACAATTCATTTTTTGAATGGCCCTGTTTTTTAGGCCTTCATTTTATGAAAAATGCCAATAGTATACGAATCTTAATATATTTATTTTTTGTTCTCAATAAAGGTATTCAAAAGTCAATATAAACCATTCAAAATTGAGAGGAAATTCATTGAGAGGCTCGGAATTCGAGTAGTGAGGAAGGGTAAATTTTGAGAGCCAAAATTTCAAATCCCCTCAATATTTCAAAGCCCTTCTACTTAGATTTTGTGACTACCTTATATACAGTCTTAATTCTATCGGCGCGAAGCGCCGATAGAATTAAATGAAAACATCTAAATTAGAATTACATTTCAAATTTATGACCGGAAAAAGGTACATTCACTAGGCGATAACAGTAAAATGGGATGAAAATAGGATAAATAGCATCCCTATATAGTGCCTAACAATATTTATACGGGCCAAAAAAAATTTGGCTAGAGATTTGGCGAGTTAGAAAACTTAGAAAATTGAGAGGGATTTTTATTTTTGAATTTTTTTTGGAAAGTTAAAATTGCGATTAAAAATCGATTTCTAGGAGAACTAAGCATCTCATCATATATTTAAATAGATAAAAATATTAAATAATAGTTGAATAGTATAACAACGTGAAATTATGACTGAATCTACAGAAAAAATGAACATATTTGACATTTTTGAAAATTCATACGTTAGATGGTGACAGACTCATAAACTATACTTTAGCTAAGATTGATATATGGTTTCAACAACACATGGTTAAAATCGTAAAAATATTTTAGATTTCAAAAAGATATTTATGGTAATATAATGGAACAGAGTCAACAAATAGCATGTAAAATATGTTATAATTAACTTTTTATTAGATCCAATAGTAGATATCGAATGGTTTCCAGCTTTATGGTTAAATATTTTCTTTTCGAGCTTCTCTTTAACTGTTGTATTAAGGTTGTAAATTTTTGATGCTAGAAACTATGGAATCTTCTTTGCTGCTGCATTTTTCTTGAGAGTTCTTGCAATTTCGAACAGATCTGCGCATTGTATGAAATGGAGGCTTTAAAATATCTTGAAAACAGAATAGGACTGCTTTTCCAAGGGAATGCTTACTTGTAAATCAGAGAGTTTCAAAATTGACAGCAAGATTATCATCATAACTTTCGATTTTGCTGCGAAAAAGGAAGACAAGTAATTAACAAATCATTTACTGTTGTTCATCAAAAGAAGAAAACTTTGATAACAACTAATGATGATAAAATCAAGCTATCTTTTAATATTTTAAATTGATAAGACATTCAAAATATTTGAATGGTTTAAAATATTTTCTTTTAATTTCTATAAGATATTATCATGATTATATAATAAAATTTAAATTTTTATTCAAAAAGGCAATATTTCAAACTTTTAATTTCAAAAATCTTAATTCTGCAATAAGTGTATTTAATTGTAGCAAATTTAATGATCCTTCGTCATGCTTAGCAATTTGGAACTCATAAATTAATGATTTCTTCAAGTAAAATTCTGTATTATTTCAAAAGTCAATAATTCTCTAGTAACTTTTCTTCAAACCCTAACCATTATATTACATGTATAATGGAGAATAATTGCAAAGAAAGATAGCCGAATTTACTGGGTAGTTCTTGTGATGCGAAATAATTGCAAATTAACACCTAGTTTTAACAGCATCAATCTCTTTTTGCTCTCATTTAAATGCATTCGCCCACTTTAATTTTGAAATATAAGAGTTTTGGAAATTATCAAATTTACCTGCTCAAATACTATAGATCTTCATAAGTGTTAATAGAATCATTAGCCTTACATATAGTGTTTAATATAATGATGCACATTATACTGGGATTCATTCCTTATTCATCTAGTTATTATAAGATTTACAACCCCATGAAAATTTAAAATTTTGTCAAAAATAGTGAATGTACCTTTGACCGGAAATGGCTATCAAAATACACCACCTTGAAGCTAATCGCAGAATCATACATCTTTAAGAATTCTTACATTCAATCAAATAAGATTCCGTAATTTCACAAAAAATTGAAAGTGTTCAATAGTTTACACAGATAATTTAAGAAATTTGAATAATTTTTCATCATCTTTTTTTTACTGAATGGGTAGATATTGGACGCAAATTATAGATTTCGTCCATATACTGATGCTTTCATCTTTATGTATTTATTACATACCTCGATATTCAGACACAATTCAGTTTAAAACGAGCTTTTCACAGCCAAAATTCGAGCTATATCCCAATATAACCCGTTCAGCTCCATTCTTCATGGTACCAAGTACACTTTTATGGGAAGTTCGACCGTATAAATCATGGGATAAATTAGATTATACGTTAATCACAGAAGAAACTCCTGCATATGACAGTGGTGTTCCACATTGTGGGCTAATGCAATCGATTATATACATTTCAATCTATGATCATGCATTTTTATCTCTCGATCCAAGAACACGTGATTTTAAAGTCATACAAAATCCGCCATATGATTCAATAGATGGTAATAACCGTAAAACAAATGGAGTTTACAATATTGGACTTTCTTTTCAGCAAAGATATCCACAATTTGGCCATCTAATTCATGATATGCTCTGTTGCTTATCATATATTCCACAAGAAGTCATTGATCAAGGATGTGTGGCTCCTGGACCATGGAGTGGACCTCATTCTGCTATTCAATGGATTGCTTTTCTAAAATGGAATATTACTTTGATCGACGGATATACGCATTTACAGGTTTACGTTAACCAGCTTTGGTCTGTTAATCCTACATTTCACTCTCATCATGCAACACTTGGAGGAATTCCGAATTTGAGGAGGAGAATCAGAAATATCTATCCAATCGAAGAAATTCCTGCTAAAAGATTTGTTATTCTCAAGAGAACAGGCAGAAGAGCCATGTCCAACTACGATGCACTCGTTGCTTCAATAAAACAAAATGTAATAATCGATGAAGGAATGAAATGGGAGGATTTGCCATTTGACTCCAGCAATCTGACCCAAGTATGTTTCGAATGGGCTACTTATAAGGTCGTTGTGACCGTAAGTGGTTCAATGTGTTATAATTCTCTTTTCATGCACAAAAATACAGGATTTTGTCTCTCATTTTCGAGAAAACTAGATGATCCTAACATCCATCTCTTCATTGCATCAGAAATTTTCATGGCCGGTGTAATTCATTTGAATTGTGACCACAATGCTGATCGTCCTTTTGAATGCGACATTGAGAAGATGACCAAACATACACAACAAGTAGTTTGGGCCGTTCAAAAAGGAAAATGGGGCAATAGGGAAGGTTTGAGACAGTTTTACAACTTAACTGAACTGAAAGAATGCCCTAAACACAAAATCAAACCTATCTATATTGATAGATTTACGGAATACGAGACTTAGAATTTATTTAATATTTTATTTGTTTTTTATTATATATATATAAATGTTTATAAAGACGTAAAAAGAAACACATGATTTAATATAACCATAATACTCCAATGCAGCAACTAGAAACTTCTATTCAGAGTATTTCGGTTGTTAATATAGTAATGCTTGAAGATAACAATATATGCTGCATTCTAAGCATTTTGACTAATGCTGCTGTTGGATTTGGTACGGTTTATAGATGCTTAATTCAAGATAAATTGATGAAAAATTATGAAGATGATCAATTCAGTTAGGAGGAGCATGATTTTTATGTTAATTTTTTGGCTTTTACAGTTCTTCTTCAGATTTAGAAGTAATTTAGTCCAAATCGATTTTTTCAAAATCTGAGATCCAAATTAAAGAAAAAGAGCCTAAATTCATAAATATTGGTCTCTGTTATATTCATGGACATAACTTACGGTCCAAAATCGGGCATTGAAACTTCACAGAGATTTTTTTTTATGAGGTAGACTTGAAGCTTTAAAGATATAACATGGTATCTTTTACAATATTCAAGGTTATCTATTTTGCTTTCTTTTCCTGCTTATTATTGTTTTGTGGAATTAGATATTGATATTCTGACTTCTTGCTCAAATTTACCCATTTTCTATACATATCTTGACGAGTTCTGTTATTTTTATCAAAGATTGAACTGTATTTATTCCGAATTAAAGTCCAATTTCCAACACCAAATTCTTCTAAGCCCTTGACAAATGCATCAAGTTCTTCAGTAGTCCAATTCTTTGATGGATTTCTTTGCTTTGAAGTTACTTTTTCTCTAAAATCTAATCTTGGAATTCCTTCGAGCTCTTTTCGAATATATTTGTTAACTTTCTCGTTATTATAAATCGAGTATATCTGCAGAACATCTTTGTAATCAATAAATGAATATGTAACTATCTTACTGATATCTTTCGTCATAAAGAATGAAATGAAATTTGACCTTTTGTGGCCAAATATTCAAATATTTCATTTTCAAATATATTTAATTTCCAGACTCGGAAAAATTACAATGTCTCTGTAATCAAGTTTCAATTAACATAAATCTAATGACAGTTATTCTTCAAATTGATCAACATTCTGATAAGCATAGCAAATATCCAATTATTCACGAAAATGTTCATTAATATTTGTAAATTTTAAGATAAATATTAGAAAGAGATTCAAATATATCAAAATACAGATATCGGTTCTTCATTTATATGCTTTATTAGCATTGTCGAAGATATGTTTTTAAATTAAGATATATATTTATGAAATATATACAACATATCTTGTCATTTTGATAATTATAATTGAAATGACTTGGATATTGCTTTTATATAGTAAGTGTTTCAATTGTCGACCTACAATTATGACTCTAGTAGCTATAAATGAATTGAAAAATTAGAAATCAAAAGGTGACATTAAATTTTGCCGCATTCAATTTTTTAGACACTTTTTATGGGTCAAGACGAGAGTATTCCCAGGGATGGAGAGAAGCTCGCCTTCTCCGAAGGATCCGCCAATATATATTATCCATCAGATTATGCCGAAGGTGATGTTTTTTACAATCCAGTTCAACAATTTAATCGAGATTTAACATGTGCAGTCATTCAAGCATATAGAAATAGTGTCAGAGATGACATTTCAATATTTGAAGCTTTTGCCGCATCAGGACTTCGCTCAATTCGTTATGCAAAAGAAATAACAGGAATTAAAGAAATTATTTCAAACGATTTAGATCCAGGAGCTGTAGAAATCATAAAAAGAAATATAGCAATTAACAAAGTATCCAACATTGTTACAGCTTCTCAAGGAGATGCAAGAGATAAAATGTTGGAAGAAGAGAACAAATATCAAGTCCTTGACTTAGATCCATACTCCACGGCCGCACCATTCCTTGAAGCCGCAGTAAAAGCTGCAACAAATGGAGCTTTACTCTGTATTACAAGTACAGATGGACGTACTTTATGTGGCGTTCAACCAGATGTCGCGTATTCATGGTATGGATGTGTTCCACTCAATGTTGAGTTTGAACACGAGTTTGGAATAAGATGTCTCTTAACTACACTTATGAATGTCGCCTCACGCCTTAAACGCTCCATTGAGCCACTTATCTGTCTTGCCGCCAATTTTTACATCAGAATATTCGTCCGTATACACGACAAACCAATAGAAGCCAAGAAATGCGCAAGTTATACTTCAATTATGACTTATAGCACTGACAGTAAGTCATTCTGGATACAGCCTCTTGGAACATGCACCATGAAATCTACAAATGCCATTGTTAGACCTCCAAATGTCGAATTCGAATTTACAAGAGATCCATACACAAATGGCCCATTAAAATTAGGTGGACCATTCTACAATGGACCATTACACAATAAAGAATTCATCGACAAAGTGCTACAATTATTGCCAACGATGAAATATCTTGGTACAATTCCACGAATTGAAGGAGTTTTGAATTGTTGCCGTAATGAAATCGATGCACCATTCTATTACGATATCGGAGCGCTTACTACAATTATTAAAGCTAGTTGTCCTCCGAGAGCATTATTTTATACTCAAATTGAGAAACAAGGATATCATTGCTCGTTGACACATTGTGATCCTGGCAAGATAAAGACTGATGCTCCACCAGAATTGCTCTGGGATATCTGCAGGAAATGGTATTTCAATGAAGGAAAGAAACTTCCTGAAGCAGATTGCACGGCAAGAAAAATTTTAGAGGCCAAACCGAAATTTGAAGTGACTATGGATATCGATCAGGACATTGAATACAGATTAAAGAGAGAAAAGAAGATTTGCAGATATTATCAGAATCCAACAAGCAACTTTGGGCCAAAAGCTGCTGCAAAGAAGAAACATAATAATAACGATAAAAAATAGAGCTGTTTATTTTAATTATTGCATATTTTAAATTTTTTTTTTGTATATTTAACTTTCACATACATTTAGAATTACGGAAGTCCATATAGAAAAAGATAGATTTGTTAATGTTAATGCTGTGGTAAAAGGTATATTATCGAGTCATACTTTTTTTAAAGCCATTAAGATAACACGGTAAAGTTTTTGTTCAAAAAATTTGGTAAGTCCTATATAGAATTAATACGTATTTGATGAATTAGATAAATTTTGTTTCAATTTTTCAAAATAGTTGTAATTTAGCAAAATTGCAGATTCAAACATACTGTCAATTTAATTTTTCATTCTATTTCGCATAACATTCAAATGAATAACAAAAGATGAAGAATATTTTTATTATTTTAAAATATAAACACTGTAAACTAAAAGTAATGCCAGCATTACATTCATCGAAGTCGGTTTTTATATGTTATATCTTTATTTATTACAAAAATTATTAATTCTAAAAGCAATTAGTGAAATTTGCCTAAATGTATTGTAGTTAATCATTTCTTTCGAGAGGTAGAGTGATTTTTGAATCTATTCTTGAGTTCTCCGAAAACATAAAATAAAACCCAGCAGGATATAAAGAGAATCAAGAATTTTAAGTGTTGCTTCCAGTTGGATTGCTTTAACTTAGAATATGCATCTTGAAACTGATCAAAATGCATATATATGTATAAAACTGTCGGAACTGAAATAATTGCAAAGAAAATCAGATTGTCCTTCCATGTTATCTTTTGGGGTTCATCCTTTTTATCTCCTTGTTCATTTTCTACTTTGGCTAGTTTCAAATTTCTTATTTTACCCATAATTTGTCAAAATAAATTTCACCTATCGTTTTAACATCTAATTACATAATTATAATTACATCTAATTATAAAGCTGTTTTATTGAATTTTCTCAAAGCTCGTAACAAAATCTTATATTGTATGATGACGGTGTTAATTATATTACAAACATATCCACACAAGTTGATTTAATTTGTCTAATTTGGATGATAAATATATTTATTCAATTAATCTTTATAGTCATTCATAACAAACTTTTTCACTTTGATAGATATACAGACACATAGCAATACGTCACTAATTAGCGATATTTCCTTATATCTTCGCTTGACATATGCTCTAAGAGATTTAGTCAAAATATATCGCAATACGACTGTATTAATCAAATTGAGGCAAACCCAAATTTTAGCTAAAAGTGACAGGGAAAAAAAAACGTTTAGTATTAAAAAAAAAGACCGATGAGAGCTTCGTTCGAAATATAGAGGGAACTGAGAATGCGCAACCATTCTCAGGGAATATTGGATGCTATTCCCATTCCCTCTGTATGGAAAATTGAGGTTTTCAAAGGGAGTTAAAATAATATCAAATTTATACTAATTTACTTCAAAATACAAAAGTATTTGACAGCTAAAATTAGTTACTTTAGCAAGCCTATCAATACCCTTTTACGATTATTGCTACTTTTTCGAAATAAAAGTAAAAACAAATTTATACTAATTTACTTCAAAATACAAAAGTATTTGACAGCTAAAATTAGTTACTTTAGCAAGCCTATCAATACCCTTTTACGATTATTGCTACTTTTTCGAAATAAAATAAATTTATTATCAAAAACCTTTTTTTTCTTAGTAAAAATAAACGAAATTTTTACCTTATGAACTTTTGATGGAAATATGCAAATTTAAAATAATAAAGAAAGCCGCGAGCGAAGCGATCGGCTTAGTTCGAAGATTTTGATTCAAATCTTTGCTGATCTGTAATTCGCGGAAGCCGCGAGCGAATCGAGCGGCTTAGGTCTAAGATTTTGATTCAAATCTTTGCTTATATTCCTTAAATTCTTTATGAAACTCGCAACAGTTCCATAAAAAATTTTAAATTCTAAACTGTCGAAATTACCGATCGGTAATCACACCCTTCACGGGTGTGTCACTTTTTACAGGCGTGTCACTTTTAGCTAAATTTACCCCTACTCGCGAAAGGGAGTTGTGGAAATTAGTGTATCATCGAATTTGCTGTCATTACACATATAAATCATTCGGACAGCATTTCCTTAGTTGATGGATCCAAATTCATTAATTTTGGGTTTAGTCAAAAAATTCAAATTCTGACATTTCGCAACTTAATATACAAATTGATCCTCTAGGTAGCCGAAATTTCATAATTACAAAAGCGCAAAAATTCGGGTTAATTTATATACTAGTCAAATAAATCAATTTTCATATGTTTGACCCAGACTGGAAAGAAATTTTTATTGACAATCTTCCCAACACTGTAGATGAATGTTTCATCATGGAGCTATTTAAAAGCATCGGATTCACCACAAAAATTAAATATACCTTCAAGATACAAATAACTCAGAACAAACCAGTTGCTTATGTCACGTTCGAGAAACACAAAACGGCCCTATGTGCTATTTCTAAAATCTGCAAAGAAAGATTCAAGGGAATTGCGATCAGAGCAAATTGGACAGATCCATATACATTATCGCTTATCAAATACGGCAATCGAGCTCTTTTTATTCGCGGTTTTGATAAAAAAGTTAAAGTTTCACAACTTCGCTCCATTTTTTGCAAATTTGGAGAAATCGAAGAGTGCGAAATTCCATTAACCAACGGCAAATCTCGTGGCTATGGTCACGTTATTTTTACCAACGAAAAAGATGCGAAAAGAGCAAGATTGAATCTTAATAATTCTTCAATTAACAGGAAACCAATTCACATTGAATTTGTCGATAAGTCATTTGAAAATGATCAGAAAAACGCTTCAAAAGAACAGAAAAACAATTCGAACAGTCTATTCTTTGGCATAATTATCAAACCTTTACCATACAAATTCTTCAAGACGAATGAAGATCTCGCTAATCTTTTGAAAGAATTTGGTAAATTTGCTGATTCCAAAGATCCTAATCCAAGAATATTATTGAACGAAGACGGAGTTCGTGAAGACATTGGCTACTGTCATTTCAGACGTGCTAAAAGTGCACTTCGAGCAGTGCGAGAACTGAATGATAAGATGCATGAATCAGGCGAATTCAGATTCCAATGCTGTCGTTCTATTACATCAAAAGAGCGTCAATCTACAATCAAAAAAGTCGTAAATGATTTAGGTGATCGTGTATCAGAATCAATTCAAAACAGAACATTATATGCCAAGAATTTTGATAAGAACATTACAGAAAAAGAATTCGAAGAATACTTCAAACAATTCGGAGATATTGAATCTAGTCATTTGAGAGGTCGTGGTTGTGGTTTTGTTACATATAAAACAGATGAAGGTGCAATGAATGCAATCGAGAATTCTATCATCACACCATTTAAAGGTGAAACTCCATTTCTTAGTTACTTCAAGAAAGACATCGAACGTGAACTTCAAAAAGAAGAAGTAATGTCATCAATGTCTCGATATCTTATTTACTTCGAATGTTATAACACACAGATCACAGATGATGAATTCATTGAATATTTCAAACAATTTGGAAAAATTGATGAATTCACCATTGAACGCCAAATTCTTATTGATGATGTTGGTAAGATTACAGGTACTGTTAAATTCGGATCATCCGATGAAGAAGAGAAAGCGATCTCGAGTTCCATTTTGAATCATCTCAAAGGTAATCCAATCGCAGTTGGTCACTACTCGAGTGCAACTAAAAATTCAACAACATACAGCGAAGATAATATATCTCCAGTTGAATACATCAAACGACGCCTGAATAATCATGACATCACTGGAAGGCGTAATAAGGCAGTTCTTTTAACAATTTCTAATGAACAAGCATTTTATCTGAATAACAATACTAGTTTATTATATTCATGGCTTGAACGAATGAAATCAATTGTTGATGACATCAGTTATTGTAATCGATTTTATTCAAAAAATGGTGCGTTTTCCGAAAAGTGACATTTTTATATTTAATACAAATTTTAAGGGTGCACCCGTATGTACGTTTATTTGAGAGGAGGAGGATTACCCTCTCAATTTTGAGGGATTCGTTAGTTTATTTTCTCGATGAATATGCAATAAAATTTGATTTTTACCTTATCAATATACTTCATATAATATACACATGTTCATGTAAAAACTTTTTTCCAAAATCCTCAGGAATTAAGGGATTTTTGAATTTTAAGAATTTTTTTCGAATTTTTTCGAAAAAAAATATTTTCAGAACAGCCTTAACGGCTAAGATTTAGGAACAATGTTAAGTATCAAAAAGAAAGGAGGTCTGATATAGACAACATATATCGTTGAAGGTTGAAAAAATCTCTAATATTTGAGCCCAAAATTTCAAATTTTAATTTTTTGAAAAAAGAGGCCACCCGTATGTACGTTTATTTGAGAGGAGGAGGATTATATTTTTGAAAGGGTGAAACATTATGAATATGTTAATTATATAATAATATGTATTATTATAAAAAAGAAAAAATAAAGCACGTTAAAATTTTTCTTTCTTGATTTTTTACAAAATCTACTTCGAATTATGCAAAATGTGACTAAATAATTATAAATTTCAAGTTAAATTTTAATTTTGATAAATAATTTAAATTTCAAAATATCAAGTTCAGTTCGACTATGTATGTAGTAATTCCTCAATAAAGTGCCAAAACCCTATTAAAATATATGAACATTTTCAACATTTTAATGTTTTTATTTAAAAATTTGATGGAATATGAGCTTCAAACAATTATTATGTAAATAAAAATAATTAAATATATGTATTTATTCGTATTACAACCGTAGTAAGTCGATTCTTCCTTTCTTCTACTGAGTTTTGAATTTGATTTCGAATTGTAAAGAGATTCAAAGGAAAATACTAGCGGAGAAAAACTACCTCCATGAAAGGGTCAGAATGGAGTCAAGTTGTATTTTTTGATATTTTTTGCTTTTCGAGCCTAAATAGGTAGCCAAGATAATGCCTAAAAATAAGGTTCTAAATTCTGAAGTTTACATGATCCTCTCGTGTGCACCCTTAATATTTTTGTAGCAGATCTACACGTATTCAAAAGGATTCAAGAGAAAAATCCATGCGAATACAAAATATGAATATGTACATTACTTGAACATTTGGTGGTTCTCTGAATATATGTGAAAACATCAAAATTTCTCAAGATTTGAGACACACAATATAGAGGTATGCTGACCGGAATAAGATTATTTTTTCACTTAACGACATTTTAATGGCCACGTCTAGAGGTAAGCATAACATTATTTTAGATATTTTTTGCTCAGCAAGCCTAATTGATTTGGACTAACCCATAATTTATTCGCTCATTGAGAAAGTATTATTGAAACATGCAAGATATATATGAAATTATTATACACTTCCGATTGCAATCTAAACAGCTTAATTTCAATCATACTTCAAATGATTAATATATACTCAATATTGAGTTTTATTAATAATTTTACTCAATATTGTAACATATGAAATTTAAGCATTGATATTATTTTGTTGCTTAAAATAATTACTTTTTGTCGATTAAATAATTAATCAGCAATTTAAGTAAAAAATTATTGTTGAAAAAATTTTTGGAACGCGCGGTTTTCTCAGAAAAAATTGTATACACCCTATTCAAACTAAAATTTTGTATTTTATCTAATATCTAAAATCATGATTTATCATACTTAAACAATCATATATGTTTTTTTAAAATAAATTATCTCTTTATGTGAACTTGAAATTCTCATCATATTATTGATAAGCCATAAGGGATGCGAAACTAAAGAATAAAAATTCAATTTCCTAAATAAGGTAGTTTATCTTTCTATTTTGTTCTACTTGCTAATTGTAATTTCGATACAAAAAATCAAAAGATTTTAGCATTTAATTATTGAAAATATACCTTGGACCATTAAGAATGTGCCTTATCACAGATTCAACTATCATAATATTGAGAATATGGAAAATATAGCATCTCAGATTATCTTGTCTGATTAAAATAAATTCATTGACTTATAAACATAATCTTTTTATTATTAATATTATATATAATACAAATAAGAAATAATACAAATAATTAATATAAACTTCCGTGGAATGTAGAGAAGTAAGATGATGATGAAGAAGAATTAGAGTAATCAGGTGCTTGTGTGTCATTTAAATCGTTGACAACGGGAAGTTCATCATCTTCAACACCGTCGATTCGTTCGTAGAAAAGGACATAAGCAGCAGGACTGAGAGCATCTTCAAATGAAGATCGTTCGCATCGAGAATCATTGAAATAGTACCAATTTCGTTGACCGTTCTTTTGAGGAACTGTTGCCTTCGCTGTGCAGTGACCACCTGTCAATGAACCAAAGTGTTCTGAAACACCATATAGTTTGTAAACAGTTGATTTAGGTTTAGGACCAACGATGTGATCTTTCATGTCCAAAATATTTGGGAATTTAACAAGACGGTCGTCTTTAACTGAGCCTGTCTCGGTTGTTTCAAATCGCTTAAGTTGAAGGACAAGTAACTTAGGACAACTCCAGATATCCATCTTTTTATTAGCCATGACATGTTCGCGACAATGTGGACAGAACCATGTGTTTTCTTCATCCAGTGTCTCTTCTTGTTTGAAATACTTGAAACACTGTTCCAATGTAACTGGTTGTTCACGATCTCCGTTTGATGTCTTCTTCTCGTTGTCCGTTTGTGTGTGGAACAAAAGTTCTGGAATAAGGAAACCTTTCTTGACATCCATCTTAGAACCGTTCATTTGGAATGTGACAACATTAGATGATATGTTGTCGTGAAGAGGAGAAGGAACAAAATTGGATGCATAACTGAAATATGATTGTTTGATTTTGACTCGTTCGTTCGAATTGAATCCTTCCGAACTCAATCTCAACCTGTTCTTGATCTTGATCATTTCTGTTGTCAAGTTTTCATTGTATTTGTCTTCTGGGAATCTGTCTGGATGTTCTGGAAGAGAAGGAGTTTGAGAAGAAATTTGAGAATTAATTTGTGAAGAAAGAGAAGGAAGTGGAGCAGGAACTGTGAATGTAGAGAAACTAGAAGGACGAGGAGCATAAATAGGTTGTTCTGTTGTTTTTGTTTCATATGAAGGAGGGAATAATGTGTTGATAACTTTTTGCGAGTCTTCTGATGATTCTGATTCTGTTTCTGTTGGAATTTCTTTAGCATTTTCTTCAAGTTCTTTAAGAATTGAATCTGGTGAATTTGCTGCTGCATTTGTTTCTGACAAATTCAAACTGTCTAATTCGACAATCTTTTCGTCTTCTTTGATTGGTTGTGATTTCTCTTGAGATTTAAGAATTTCATCAAATTCATCATTTGTTTTTTGTTCTTCAATCTGTTTTGAAAAACTTTTGAGTAATTCATCAAACTCATTTATTTTGTTTTCTTCTTTCTTTTCATTTGATTCAGCATGATTTGTTTCTTCTTTATTATTTTCTTTTTCTTTTTCATTATTATCACTAACTTCATGTGATTCATCAAGATTGACTTCGATTTCTTCCTGATGATTTTCTGGTTCTTCTTTATTTGCTTCATTTTGAACAATCTCATTTTGTTTCTCTTCTTCATATTCTTTGTTTTCATGAGTTTCTTCAATTGAAATTTCTTGTTTTTCATTTTCTTTAATTTCTTCTTGATGAATTTTTTCGTTTTCTTTGGAATCTTCTTCTTCATGAGTTTGCTTAATTTCTTCAGCATGATCTTCTTTATTTTCTTGTTGTTCATTATTTTCTTCAATTCCTTGTTGATTGTTATCTTGTTTTTCATTTTCTTCAACATGATTTTCTTCAATTTCATGCGTTTCTTCTTTGTCTTTGGTGTCTTCTTCATGAGTTTGTTTATCTTCTTCATCAAGATTTTCTTTATTTTCTTGCTGTTCATTATGTTTCTCTGGTTCTTCATCAATAGCAATTTGAGGAATTACTGAATCATTGATTTGTGTTTCTTTATGAATTTCATTATTCTGAATTTCTTGTTTTTCTTGTTGTTGTACTTCATTTTCAACAATTTCTTCATGATGTTCAATGGAACTATCTTGATGTTCTTCAATGTTTTGTTCTTCTTCGGATTCTTTGTTTGATTCAGGATCTTTCATTTCAATTTCTTTTTCTGATTTCTCTTCTTCTGACTCTTGATTTGATTGATTTTCTTCTTGTTGACTTTCTTCTTCATTTGTTGTTTCTTCTTCTGATTTATCTTCTTCCTGCTTTGAATCATCTGTTTCTTCTTTTTCTTCTTCTTCTGGTTTATTTTCATCATTATTTGATTCTTCTTCATGAATAGATTCGGGTTCTGCATCATTTTCAAGATTTTGCTTTGAGTTTTCATCTTCATGATTTAATTCGTTTTCATGATTCTCCAAATTTTGTTCATTATTTTCTTCTTGATGATTTAATTCTTCTTCATTTGGTTTTTCTGTTTCTTCATGAATTGTATTCTCTTGATTATAAGAATTATCTGGTTCATGATGTTGTTCGGTTTCTTCTATTTCAACATGATTTGATTCTTTTTCACCTTCTTCTGGAAGAGTTGGTTTATTTTCCTCATTCTGAATTGGATTCAAATTGATTTCTTCATGTTGAGGATCAGTTTCCTCATTTTTAGTTTCCACTTCATTTTCTGATTGTTGTTCATGAGAATCAACTTCTTCTTGTTTCATCTCTTCTTCATGATTCAAATTATTTTCTTCTTCCTGTTTAGTTTCTTCTATATTGTGTGTCTCTTCTTCATCTTTGTTTTGTTCTTCTTGTTTTGTTTCTTCTTCATGATGTGATTGTTCTTCAATAGAATTAGTTTCATCATTTTTAGTTTCTTCTTCATGATTAGCTTCAATTTTGATTTCATGTGTATTAGATTCTTCCTGTTTTGACTCTTCTTCATGAGAATTATCTTCCTCATGATGTAAATCAATTTCTGCATTATTCTTAGTTTCTTCTTCATGATGGTTTAATTCTTGTTTATGAGAATTATCTTCTTCCTTATGATGGAATTCATTTATTTCAGAACGAGAATTATCTTCTTCATCTTTAGTTTCTTCCTCTTCATGATGTGAAGAAATTTCTTCTTCATGAGAATTATCTTCTTCTTCATTTTCGTGTGATTCAATAGCTGATGATTCATGGACATCTGATTCAAAGAAAGGTGTTTTATTAATGTGACTTTGGTTTTCTTTTTCTTCTTCTTCCTCTTCATTATGAGTGGATTTGTCAGATTTGTCACTTTTGCTATCGTATGTGTCAGAAATTTCGGATTTGTCACTCTTCTTTTCTTCGGAATGTTCGGATATTATCTTTGGTTCATCCAGTTCTTCTCCTTTCTCTGATGATTTGCTTTCATCACTGAAAACTGAAAATCTCTGATTGATTCGTGAAAACTGGAATGGTTTAGGATTTCTTTCTCCAATAAAAATGTGCTGTGTTCTAGCCATGTTCTTTCCACTGCTTGCAACTTCGGATTCACTCTTATCCTCATTGGTGTCACTTTTATCACTGTCACTTTTTGATTCTTCTTCTGGCTTTTCACTAGAATCTGAATCATATGATCTGTAACTTCTGGAACCGTCACTTTTGGCTTCTTCATTTTTATCTTTTTTTTGTAAATGACTTGATTCATCAATTTTCTCTGAACTTTCTGTTTCATTTTCTTTGTCAGAATGTTCACTTTTGTCACTTTTTGTTTCGTCACTTTTATCTGAATTTTCTGATTCTTTTTCTTTGTTAGATTCTTCACTCTCTGATTCATTATTTTTGTCACTTTTCACAGACTCATTTTCATCTAATTTGTCACTTTTTGATACATCACTTTTGTCACTTTTTATTAAATGAATTTCTTCAATTTTATTATTATTGTTGTTGTTAGTATTATATTTCATATTAAATTTGAAGAAACCAGGAATACTATTATTATTGTAAATATTTGTTGTTATTTCATTTTCTTCTGAATCTAAGTATAAAATGTCTCCATCCCAAAGATAGTCCAATCGTTCATCAACTTGCATCTGCAATTCTTCTGGAGTGATACTCATAAAATTGACTTCAACTAAAAATGGTTTGAAAAGTGGAGCTTTTGTTGTCAACATGTATGAGAATTCTGGTGCAAAGTTGAATTCCAATTGAACTGGAACATATGCCAATGAGTCATCTGGAATCTCAAATGCAATAATTGTCAATGCTGCGGAATATCTGGCTTGTGTTGGATCCCAATACAATCGCATTCCATTCTGAAAATCAGCAGTGAATGCAACTGCGACTTCTCGATTTGTTTCTCGGAATACTGCATCTTCATAGTCCTTCACTGAAGCGTTCCTTGGAACTTTGACAGTCAACCATTTATGTGCTGTTTGCATGTCATAAGGAATGAACAAGATATCGACAACCTTTTGGTTTGGAGGTGATATTGGTAATGAAATAGCAACATATGGATCGAAAACAACTGTTGTCAGTCCGCATTGAGGACAAATACAACGAGATCGGAGTTGTCCATGGAAAAGATCAACAACAATGCTATCATTACGCAATTTGTGGTTATGCCATGCCTCTCGTGATGTCTCCAAGTCGTTTGTAGAATCACCAATAACTTGTTCAACCATAGGTTTAGTTCGACATCTATTCAAATCTTCATGGATACCATCAAGCATGAACATGATCAGTTCATGTGGGTCTTGTTGTTGGTAACCAGCAAATTGGGGCGCAAATTGGCCGGTGACACTTTTTAAGCCATCTGGACTTAATGCTATTTCTTCGCCAAGCCACTCTCTTGCTGTGAGAGCTGCGAACTGGCGAACAAGTTTTCCTTTCATACCAAGTGGATTTGTCTCATTGATGTCGTCACGCCACTCATCACCTAAAAGAAAACGAGTTAAAGGTAATGAGTGCATAATGCATTGAATTCCACTATTAAAATAACAAGTATTACCAAGATTCTTGCATCCTATCATGCCTGGATGAGAATAGGCTGATTGTACTGGAGTTCTGCGCATAAAAATATCAGATGAAGTATAAGATATGGCTCTCTTTGGTTTTGAAGAGAAATCTGTTGAGTAATTCGTTAAGTTTTGAGATGCGATAGATGGGAATTCGACTTTACTTGATGGATATCTTGAAATTGTATTACTTTGTGAAATTGGTTTGAAATTTGATGAGCTTGAATAAAGAGAGAATGAGGAGACTTGTTGTGAATCTGCTCTCTTTGTTGGAACTGTAAAATTCGAAAGATCTGAGTAATTCGAATAATTTGTGGAAAATGGCAGAATTTTTACCTTTGGGTATTTAAATTTCCCGTCTTTCTTGGGATCAACGTAAATAAGAGGTAAATTTCTGTGTAATTTGAGACTATCATTATCTTTTAATACAGTAAATTTTGTTTTATCTTTTGGATCTGGGAAGGTAATTAATCTGATTTGCTCTTTGATCTTAAGTGTAACTCTCACTTCTTTGTTTAGCTTCGAAATTTGATCAATGTCACACATAATGAAGTCTGTTATTTTTTTATTGTATTTGCAATGCATCATTATGATATTTGTGCATAAAAAGCGCTGTCCGTTCAATTTTCTAATTGGATACACAAGAGCTTGATCTCCACCGTACCATTGATGCAACAAATTGTAAGCTTCTTGTGATAATATCTCGTATTGATCTGGTTTAGCATACGATAATAATTTGCTGTTTGATACTATCGATGAGTTATCAATTCGTGAAGGCTTTGGACCTTTCTTAAGCGTTTGGTCAAAAGATGTATAACTTGCCCATTTGTTAAACCAAATTTTCGAGATCGGACAACCAATTGATGGTTCATCCGGGCTGTAAATGGTTTTGTTTTTAGACGCTATCGTTCGCCCTTGTTCGGGCGGCGAAGGTGTCTGTTTCGTGATCAAAATTTTTTTTGTGGATAGGAATGTGAAAAATATTAAAATCTTCGTGCAATATGCATATGGCTTTGTGATATGGTAAGTAAATGGTAAAAGAAAATAATTTGTAGAAATACCAAAGTTGTCGAGATAAAATTTTCAAAATTTTAAAATATTGATATAATGAAAGAAGTATAAAACGTGTGAAAGTTGTATTATCGATATGTTAATGTGATATGGTGAAATTCCTAAAATTGGAATAAAAAAATTGGAAAATATAACTAAAACATTTAAGTTTTGTGATAAAAATTTCTAGATAAATCCAAAAAGTTAGGATGTCCTTTGGAATTGTAATGATGTGAATGATTGTGGATCGAAAAGTGGTAAGTTTCAATCACTAGATCATTTCTTCACTTGTTTATCAGAGGTTTCGGTGGTGCAGCCGGTTAGCACATTTGTCTTATAAGCAGATGGTCGCGGGTTCGAGCCCCGCCCGAAACACTTTTTAAAATTTTCCCCTCATTTAATTTCTTTCCCCAAACACTTAATTTCCATGAATAAGTTCGCTGGCTTTTTCAAAACGTGTAGTTTTAGGATCAAATCAATATCTCAGATTGTATAATATATTTTGACTTTGAATTTTGCAATTGAACCACACCAAATCATATTTCTCTACCCAAATGAAAGTTACACTCTAATTCACATCTCAGGGACACTATATAAAGTATAATTCAGATAAAAACTTTTCTCTACCGCACTGATTTTGAAAAATTTTTGACAAGAGGAAATTCAATGAGGGTTCTTCCCCGTTCTGGCGAATGCTGGAAGGTTTTTGGTATTACAATGTTTTTCGTAACTGGTTCCTTAGTTCCTGTACTTAATGGAATTATTTTAAAGAATACTTATTCATGGAAATATGGATTAAGTATTCAATTTTCTAAACCATGGTTTACAAACTTCATGTTATTCTCTGGAATGGCCCTATTTTCAATTCCATTCCTTGTGAAATTCATTTACAATAAGCGCAAGAAAATTCCAACAGAAACATTCGATTGGTATAAGTTTAGAGCAACTTCAATTCCTTCTATTCTATATTTAACAGCAACTGCGTTACAAAACTACGCTTTGTTATACATGCCTATTACTGTTTGGCAAGTTTTCTTCTCTTTTCAAGTTCTTTTTACTACACTTTTTGCTGTAACATACAGAAAACAGCAACTTTTCTTGGTTGACTGGCTTGGCCTATTCGTAACTGTCTCAGGAATCGCTTTTACTGGCGTTGCGGGTTTATTACGCGGTGTTTCGTCAGCTGAGCAGTCAATTTCGAAAATGTTTTACATGTTCATTATTGCCATTTTCTCTCATGGCATCAAGGCTCTTGAAACAATTCTCGAAGAAAAGTTAATGCATCAAATGCACGGTATTACGGGCACTCAACTCACTGCTTTTGAAGGATTATGGGGATTCTTTATACTACTATTCATATGCTTACCGATCTGTCAGTCCGTTTCCAAATCTTCCGCATTATACGAGAATACAATCGAATCTTTTCAACAACTAGCAAGGTCAAAAATGCTAAGTTTTCTTAATGTACTGTATTTAATACTTTTTACTATATTCTCTTACTTCGGTTTTCAAGTTACAGAAATGTCTTCTGCTATTCACAGAAATATGTACGAAACCGTCCGACCATTGACTGTTTGGATGGTTTCTACTGCTTTGAGATACATTACAGGCAATAAACTCGTTGGAGAACAAATAGATAATTATTCCATCATCGAGCTTACAGGATTTTTCATTTCAGTTATCGGATCCCTGATATACAATAGAGTTCTGAGATTCCCTTGTTTGATTTATATCGAAGATGAACTCAATCAGAAAAATATTTCAAATCTTGATTCTCAGCCACTTCTATTGAATAAGAATCAAGATTATTGATCAAAAATATAATCATATTTTGTTTATCTATTCTTTTTTATGAAAATAAAAGATTTCTATCCAATAAATTTTAAAATTAAAACATATTTTCATATCATATTGAATCAGTAATAGGGTCTATATAAATTTGTACAATGAAAGATTCGTTTTTGATATAAACAATTTTTGATGATTTTGAAATTGATGGACAAAAAATCAAGTGAAACCCTGATAAATAGAACAGCCTATTGATGTCAAAACAATTTTATTGTTTTTGTTTTTAATCAAGCCATTGACATCCTTTGAATTCGATTACCGATGTTTTTTACAAAAAAATATTTTTTTGAGGAGACGTATAAATTAATTTATTTATTGATTCTTAATGTATAATTGTAGTTAAATAATGATGAAAAAAATAATCTTGCAAAATGTTGAGAGCGAATTCAAATTTTTCGTTATTTACAGATCATGGTGAAATAACAATAACCGAATATGATAGATAATTTTGTTCCGATATTATGATTTTGTTATAAACATTAAAAAAATTATATTCGTATTTTTGATGAATATTACTATACTGACTGGTTTTCGCTTTTTCAAGTTTTAGCCAAACAAATAAATTGAGAATCAATCTAGTGATTTTGTGAGACCCAATTAATATTGAAAGAAAAGTTATCCAAACCGCAAATTCCCCAAAAAATCTACTAAAAAAATTTATATCGAGCCCTATGTATGGCCCTAATGGGGATAACTCTATTGTAACTTTCCGGGCGCCAATGCATAATCAGCAAGAGATAGTTATTGTGCCCCAAACGCCGCAGCCTTTTTTTAACCACAATCCAACCCTATTAACAAATCCATCACTGTCAATGAATTCGTATGTACATAATCCTCACCAACCACAATTTATCTTTACTCCTCCGAAACCTATCCCGCTTAAGCCCGTTCCTACAGCTGTAATTCCAAAATTAATATTAACGCCTTCACAGGTACCGCCACTTCCACCTCCGTATATGGTAGTATCACAGTCACAAGATAAATTTGCGCAAACAGATATGATAATAAAGCCAAATCAGATCGGACTCATTCCGCATGATTTCTGGTCCCATTATAAGAAAATATCATTCGAGAATATGATACATACATACTTTCATAGACGAAATTCTTCACACGCTAGATTTGTTTATAAACTTTACAATGCGTTACTAATAACAGCAGCATACCCATCCCTCTTGCCTATGATAGGAGTATCATGGGAAACAAATAATATTATTAAAGTCCGAAAGACTCCGTTCGCCAGTCTGATAGGGACAAGAATAGCCGATAATAGTTTATTTCATAAGCAAGGCAACTTCCCGACTCACGGATTTGCTGAATTAACGTCTGAGGAGGCTGTTGTCCATAACATCAATATAAGTTATATAGATTTTGATGAGATACGTCTCGTTTACCATCTGAATGGTAAGTTCACTAAGAATTGTGGTGAAAAGGTCTTGAAATCATGCATTTGGAAACGAAACGGACAAGATTTGTAATTTAAACATGTATTTTTTATGAAAACAATAAGATTTATGATAAGACTTTCATTAAATGCTGGTTCCCAAATAAAATTCATGAGGCCTTTATATTTTAACAGAATAGTATCTAACGAAGTCTCATGTCTTTTAAATGAGAATCTTATTCCCATCGAATTTGATTTTATCCATGAATATAGTAAACTATACCAATATTGTATGATTATGATTTATTGGTTTTGATTGATATAACCTCGAATTTTGAACTTGAATAATTTTGGAAGATACGTATGATCTCTATATATTTTGAACCTCCTTGAAATAATTATGAGTATTTCTAATAGAATTATCATATTTTGAACAGTGATATTTTATTCAAAAGATATTTTAGGTATCAATATCATATATAAGTGCATTAAATGAATTATACAGATGAATTTATATAAGGTGCTTTATAGTAAAAGCTCTGGGCTAGCATGTATATAGAAAATCTATTAGATTTTAGGTATGACATTGCCGTTAATCAGTAACATGCATATCATTATGATGAGTTATGTTTTGACTATAGATGTACCTATTTAGCATTATATGATGCCAAATTTGAAGAATGTCGATTCTTCCGTAGTTGTGTTATTAGAAAAAGGATATCGCGCTGTAAAAATGTATAAATAAATTCCCATAAGTAATATAAAGAGTTGATTTATCAACCTTTTAGATAAATATAAAATAAAGAGATAGAGACAGAAATTTACACATCAGCCTTCTCTAGCAAGCGCTGATTCATCTGTACCATTATATCGTTATCACTCTTCTTGAAGCAAAGAATAGTGACTGTAATTAAGACCGCTAATATTGCGCCCGCAACAGTTAACGAAACTGTTGTCCAACTAGGGACCCCTGAAACGGATGTAGGATAAGGAGAACTGGTTGGCACTGGGGTAGGCGCATCTGTGCCAACCAAGCATAAGGCAGCTATCAGAAGAAGGTAGCAGGTCATTTGAAATTAAAAAAATTTCAATGGTTTACACAAGCCCATTGAAAAAATACTGATGGTCTTGTATAGATGCATATTTACCCAAACATTCAACAAATCAACGATGGGAAAAAAATTTTTTATGAACCAATCAAATATAAAATTGACAGATTTTATAACCTAAATCTGAAGCGACCAGAAATCAGATTTCCTAAGGCTTCGTGAAGGATTTCGGTGTCTCCATACGGTCTGATATTGATTAAAGTTTTGTTGCTTCAAGATTTCAACTTTTTCAGCCTTTTCGATATTTTATATACGAATAAACTTGACCACTATATTCAAATTACAATAAAACTTCATAAAAACCATAATACTCGCCTAGAGAATTCCATACGATCATTTTTAACCGCAATATTCGATTTTGTACGATTTCGTTTTTGAATTCAAAAATTCTTTTAATAACAAACTTAAAAGTACTAAGCGTTTTGATGTCTCTAAAATCATAGAAGCGAATACAAAATTCAATTCATCGGAAATTTTATTGCTGAGTATACTGGCTAGGTTATAGAATGCTGAGTATTCCCAGTGGATTTGAGAATATTTTTTGATTGCGTTCTTAATAAATATTGAATATTGTTTGATATTTTTATTGGAGTTTTTGAAGCATATTTTCGGAATAAATGCCATAAAGATACGAGCATCGGAAGGTAATTTACGCAAAATATAATAAATCAATTATCTGATGAAGAGGAATATTTATTTGATGCGAATAATGCTTTGTAATTTCAATTACATCTATTTCATTTGCTAAGTGATGCAGTATGAGCTTACTTTTCTTTGATTTTAAGCTGAATGGAATACAAATATCGAAATAAACTAGTTTTAAATAGAAAATTAAATGACAAAATTGAAAATATCATTTAATGTAAGCTAATTTTCATATTTATTTGAAAGTTTGTGTCATTATAGTTATGCACGTTTAAAAATATTTTTGAAGATTTTATATGAATTACTCCTCAGATTATGATTCAAATCTATCAGAATCGAGACATGACGATTCTTTAGAGTCATACTCGACAATTGGATCAGGAACTATACAAGATACTGCTGAACAAATAACAAATTTACAAACTGAAATCCTCAATCAAGCTCTCCTCATTGATAGATACATTTCTGAAGGTGCTCGGAAAGGTAATAACACAGAAACTTTTCATCAATTACAAGATTTGTATAAATTATTCAAAGCAGAATTAAATCTAAACTTCACAATCCGCAAAGCATTAATTCAAGAAAGATCTACGAGTGAAAAGGTTGCTACTACTTGTTCAAAGAGTATTTCAGAATTAAATGACTTTTTCTCAAAATTATCTTTAGTCACAGGTGTTGAAGTTCACAACCTTGACACAGCAGTTAAGCTTATAGAAAATGCTATAAGAAATGGACTGTTTACGCATAAAAAGCAAATCATTCGCGAAAATAAACAACTGCAACAAAAAATTAACGAATTACAAGATCAAATTAATGAAATACAAGCCCAAAAAGCTCTTGAATTTGCCGAAATACAAGCAAAAATAGATATTGCTGAGTCGAATGCTCAAAAATATCAAAAAGAAATTGAAGATTTACAAAAAGCACACAATGAAGATTCTGAAACAATCAAAACTCTAATTTCTCAAAAGCAGAATGAAGTTGAAGATCTAAGTTCCAAGTTTAAATTTCAGCAATATACAAAGATGAATGAATACTATGAAATCAAACGAAAATATGAAGAATTGACCAAGGAATCAGCAACATTAAGAGAAGATGTTAATAAATTAAAAGCAGAACTAGAAAAAGTCACACAAGAGCGTGATTCTTTATCAAATAAGGCAAAAGATGCTGATGAATATTCGATGGCTTTGCAAAAACTCGAGAATGATATGAAATCAAAAGAAGAAGAAACGAAACGATTGAAGAGAGAGAAGAATGCGTTAGCCAAATGTGTTAATGAGAGCAAAACAATTAGACAAGCATATATAAATAAAATTGATGAATTACAGAACAGATTAGTAAATATAGAACGGAAAGCAAGGAATGTAAATTCTAACTTAGATTCAGAAAATCTGAGACTGAAAAACAATTTGAGGAGCGCCGCAAATGAAATAAGGAGATTAGAAATGGAAAACTCACGTCTTTCCTCAGATTCATCTCTGATAAGAGGTCAAGAATCCATTCTAAATGCTTTCTCAGAGCTCAAAAGAAGTCTTCATATTCAAGAGCAAACATCTCCTATGGAAGTTGTTAGGATCATCTTATCAAATCTCAATAATAACAGCAAGCATTCATCCGATTTTGGAATAGCAGAAAGTGATACCATATCTAAATGCTCAAGTATAACGTCATTGCCACCTTCTATCGGCAGAAAGAGTAGCAATGGAATGGCTCTTCAAGAGCAAATTGATGCTTTACAATGCGAAGTTATGTCTTTTAAGGGTGAGGTTAATAAATACACCCAATAATAAATAGTTTGTTTGTTTGTTTTAATTAATTACATATTTTTTAACAATATCTTCAAAAAATCAGCAAAACCTAAAATCGCGAGTTGTGTTCAGTATTACTAGATGAGTAAATTAAAATGGTAAATGTGAAATTCAATAAATATAACATAAAAGAATTCCTCAAGGAAGTTCCTCATCTCTGAATTAATTGAAAGAAATTGAATGAGTATTCAAATTAATATAATTTTTGATGACAAAAATTGTTCGATGTGAATGGATTGACAGAGGACCATTGTACCTCGATTATCATGACAACGAATGGGGTTATCCAATGCATGATGACAAAGATTTATTTAGGCAATTATGCATTCAAGGCTTTCAAGCTGGATTGAGCTGGGATTTAGTATTGAAAAGAAAAGCTAAGCTTGATGAAGCATTTGATAACTTTGATCCGGACAAAATTATCAAATATGACGATAAAAAAATTGCTGAAATATTGCAAACTGATGGTGTGATCAAAAATAAATTAAAAGTTAATGCAGTTGTATCTAATGCCAAGGCATTTTTCAAAGTAAAAGAAGAATTTGGTTCATTTGATAAGTATGTTTGGTCTTTTGTTGATTATAAACATATTGTTCATGATTTTGAAAAAGTTGAAGACCTTCCTGCTGAAACAGAAGAGTCTAAAAAGATAAGTGAAGATATGAAGAAAAGAGGATTTAAGTTTGTCGGAAGCAAGATAATATATAACTTTATGGAAGCCATGGGCTTAGTTAATGATCATTTCTCTTATTGTTCTTTCAAAAATGGAAAAATTAAATCAGAATAGAGTAAAAATCTTATATTGAAGTATTATTAGTGAATCATATACATATCATATATTAAAAAAGTGATCGCTTACAATTTTCTCTATATGAATACAGTTATTTGGATATTTTATATTTTATTTTGCATTTTATGATATTTACTTTAAGCCATGTTAATGTGTTAATGCTGTTATGCATTGTATTGATATGATAGAGTTTTAATCATTATATATTTTGTATGAAATAAAGAAAAATTTAAATTAGAATATAATAAACAATGAAAAGTTTTTTATTCCTTCTTCATCTTCTTCTGGGTCTTTTTGATTCTGCAGAAAGTAAGGATAATAAGAACAATGAATAAAATTGTGAAAATACCAGGAAGAATGAGGTACTTGAACATAAGCTTTGGATGGTAAGTAAGAAGGTACAAATGGAACACGATTCTACCGAATCCTGGTTTAATATTCCTATCAATAAGTGCTTTCGCTTTGAAATAATCTGTTAATGACTCTTTGAACTTATCAAACTCTGTTTCTATATTTCCAGTAATTGTCTTATCGTATGTTTTGAGAATTTGGAAATTATAATTAATTTCTGGCGAATGAGCGTTTCTATATCTCATATATATCAATGCTGCATACTGGTAATCTTGATGGCTGGCTGCTACGTAAGCTGTATTAATGGCATCAGCTAAATATGATTTTCTTATCATCAAAGTCTTAAGATATTCTTTTTCTGCTGTTGGCACATTAGTTTGTGCCTTGTAATAAATAGCTGGAGCATATCCAAGTTTGATTGCATCATCTATATAACGAATTGCTTCTTCTTTAGTGCCAGAGAAGCCTTTTTCACGTTTGTACATGCTGTATCCGTATTCTCCAATAGCTTTAGGAGATTTGGCTTCCACAGCTTTCTGTAAAAGTTTCAATAAATCGGGAGCAAAATGACTTGAAGGATTATTACGGAGTGTGTGCAATGCCATATCTGTTATTGAATATACATCACCGGATTCGATACCTTTTTGATAGTATTTCAAGGATTTTGCAGGATCTTTGTATTTATATAATCTTCCGAGCAATCCGTAAGCAGCTGTTGAGCCCATATTGATTGATTCTTCAAAATCGGCAATAGCGCCTTTGTAATCTTTGACATTTAACTTTTTCACGGCTTGTGCGATTTTTGCGCCGGCATCTCCACGTTCTGCTTGTATTTCAAGGAAAGCAGTAAGTCTTAGTTCTGTCTTGTTTGTATCTGTTGGAACTTTGCCTAATGGGAAGCGTTCTATGGCGAAATTCTTGTATGAATATTCTAATTCGTATGTGTGAGCAAGAGCAGCAACAAAACTATCATCAATTGGTGAGAATGAATTTGCTAATTGGCATGACCAGCAATCTGATGGGCAATTTAAGGAATTATCCAAAATTGCAATTCTGCACTTTGCCATATTGCTTCCTTCCTTAGCTGCAAGAGTGTAAAGTTCTCTGGCTTTGGACTCGTTCATGTATGCACCTTTGAGGCCATATTCGTAATAAACACCTCTGATGAAATTAAAATGCTTTGATTTTTTAACGTTATCTTCGATATATTGAAGAAGATCTTTTCCTTCGTCGTAATTCTTTCTGAAATTCTTGAAAAAGTCTTTCATTGGGTGTGATTCTTCAATAAATTCAAAATCAAAGTAATCTCCTACCTTCCTTTTTTTATCTAGTGGTATAGGAATGAACGGAAGTGGTCTTTCCCATTCATCTTTTATGAGAAGTGCGCTCAATAATGGCAACATCCCAATAAAAATTCTAATTTACAAAATTTTTTTACATAAAAAAAGTTCTTTTGGTTGATTGATTGCTTGGCTGACTATGGAAGAAAACCTAAATTCTTGGAGGATAGCATTGCTTTCGTTTTGATAAATAGAATGTGCTTAATAATGCAACACTCTTTCCATTATCTCCATCAAATTAACTCGATGAATATTATAAATAAGAAAGGCATATTTAAATAGGATTAATCAAATGAGTATGCAATACATGTGGATTTGTTTAAGAAGATAATTGATGAAATGAAAAGTAGTATATGTGGACGGGTTTTGTGACTTTTTTTGTAAACGTAAGAATTCATACAATATTGAACGATTTTGTATCATTTTTTTTAACATATGAAGTAAAAATGTATGATTCTTACGGTTTTTATTCTCACGTTTTTGAATAAATTAAGATTTAAAAAATTTTCAAAATTGTAAGACATTTACACTCAGCCCATACATAACGAAATAAAAAAAATAAAAGAAGCTATATATAGATGATGTCAGATATTCCGCGATTAATTAAACATTATTTGAATTTATGAAATCAATAAAGTCATAATCAAAGACCTCATAAACGAGAAAAAGAAATTGAAACTAATGATTGTTTGAATTTATGAAATCAATTATTTGATTCATTCTTTCTTCAATCTCTTCTATTCTTTTTGTTAAATCATCAATTTTCATTAATGAGGTGATTCTTGATTGAGGAATAGATTTCAAACTAATCACTCCTTTTATTTTTGAAATTTTGAATCCATCAACTTTAAACATTTTATTCAATTTACACGTTGTCAATTCTTCAAATAATTTTTTATTATTAGCATAATAGTCATTAAATTCTTCAACAGATGAAAAAATTTTTATTTCAGTAATTGGTTTAACAACGTTTATTTTTTGTTGAACATTTTCACTTTCATTTATTTCTTCCTCCTCTGTTTCATTCATTTTTAAAATCGGTTTCATTTATTATAAAATAAAAATTAGAATATAAGTGATGAAATATATTTTTTAATTAATATTAAATCAGAAATGGCGGCAGGATTCTTTAAAAAATTATGGGATGGAATTAAGAAAGCTGCGGGTTGGGTTCATAAAAATATTATTAAACCCGTTGCAAACTTTTTGGCACCAGTAGCGAAAACGGCAGGAACTATCATAGGTGGAGTATTAGGTACTAAAGCAGGTAATCCAGCGATGGGAGCACAAGCAGGTAACGCAATTGGTGGAATTGCTGAAGGAATACTTAATAAAATAGGAGGTAAATAGTGGAAAAATAAATAAATATTATTTTTATCTTAGTATCGGTTGAAGTCTTTGATAAACTTTTTCTCCTTTATTTAATATTTCTCTTATTGGGGCAGCTTTTGGTGTTATTGATTCAGCAACGTCACTAATTGCTTCTTTATTCTTAAATATCCAATTTGCTCCCTTCTTCATTGTTTCCCAAACTTTATGCGCTCCTCTTTTTACTTTATCCCACAGTTTCTTAAATATACCTGCAGCCATAGTTGATTATTTCATTAAAATTAAAAATTCATTTTCATCTTTTAATTTTGATTTTTTATTTATTAATAAATGACGACTAACTATTTGGTGCCAAACACTAAACCGATTAATGGAAATGTGTTTCATTCATTCGAAAAGATAAATGAAATATTCGCAAAGAATGACGGTAGAAGATATTATAGAGAACTTGAAAGTTCATGCTATGACTCTGATGCTCCATATTTTGATGATAAACAAACTCATTTAAGAATTACAAATCCGGCTCATGATGTGAACCAATTAGGTGACACATATATTAAACGCAAAGTTAAAGCAACTCTAGTTTCAAATAAAGCTTTCACATGTGATGCCGCTTTTAAATGCATGCGTTTATTCGTTGGTTACAAATCATCAAATCAAAGCTTTAAACAATTAGAAGTAGAAACCGAAAGAGGTGATGCTGGTTATCTTCAGATGGATTGCGCCCGTGAATCTTTCGCATTTGCAACATATAAACCAAAATCAGAAAGGAAAGTTAAAAAGTTTGTTCATTCGTTATATAATAATGTTCAAAAATATGATAACTCAGTATGTGGTAAATATATTGACCCTTCAGAAGTTTTCAAGAACGCAAATGAAGAAGTTGATGTCACTTTTGATATGATTATTCCGGTAAATGATTTGTTAGCATTTCAGGCGTTCGATGATTATCCTAAATCATTTGGTGAAATCATTCTTAAATATTATGTTTTCAGGGATACTTTAGTATTTTGTCAGGTTGACCCGTTAAGAGTTGCTGATTTACAAAATTACGTTTATGAAAAGATAACTGATGAAAATTATGAAAAGATTATGAATCATGTTTATAAATATGATCGCAAATTCCAACAAATCGGACTTCCTGCCAAATTAATTACAAGCTTAGCCGCTACATCTGCTGACGCAACAGTTGATAACGTTATTATTTCATGCACAAAGATGGAAGTTTTAGAGGATAAATGCATTACACCTGGATATGGTTTAATTGAAGAATCAGTTAAAGCAATACCACGTTTATTTAGTAAGGAAGATCCATTCATGATTCCAGCTCAACATATTGACGTTCGTTCACTAAATGGAGGTTGCATCACTCCTGAAGGTATCAGCTCAGATTTCTCATACGCTCTTCATAATGTTACAGATGTTGTGTTAACATTTCCGAAGAATGCAATGCAAAGAACAGTTTTAGAAAATCCAATGCTTCGAGGTCTTCAGGTCACTATAGATTCCAGAAACTTCCCCGATCAAGCGATGACCACAGTGGGCGACATATTCTTTACACGTATGCTTCAAGCTTCTGATTTAGATGGAGTGAATGAATGCACGGAAGAATACGAGGACTCATTAACTAGACCACTGAATGATGATAATGGCATACCATTAGCTAGAACATGGAAAGACCAAACTTCATTCTTATGCACTATTCCAGTTCAACGTGATGGAGCGGGTATATTCTTTGATGGATTAGAAACTTTCAATTCACAAGTTACAGTATAAGTGAAAGCTTATCCAATCATTCAGGGTGAAAATGACACTTACTGTTCAAAGGTGACAAATCCTCCTCAGGTTTGGTTTACTAGGACCACGTATTGGACATGGACACCGGACGAAGGTTTGAAATATCATCCAACAGGTACACCACCACAGTATAGAAGTTCATATGATGAAATATTGATGAATAGAAATGTTTAAAATTATAAATTTATTTTTGATTAAATGGATTTAAATTCATCCACCCCTTATGAAGAATTAGCAGGAGTATATAATACATACGTAGATGATATGATTAATGAAGCATTAAGTGATAATAGAAATGCTCTATCTAAGGAAAAATTAAATGAAAATTCCATATTCTGAATGTTACTTAAATTCAATCACTGCAGCAATTGGTAAACAAAATAAAGGTAAAACATTAACGATATTAAAACAAATTATCATTATTGCTAACACTTCCCCCCATTCACATGTGTTAATTTATATCAACCGTTCAGGTTCACCTTCAGATGATACATTTGAATCTTTAAAGCATTTAATCAAAATTCCAATTATTTATTTATCACAAGAAGAAGCAGAAGATTATTTAAAAAACTTTTTAATGTATAAAGAATTATATAATACAATCAAGAAGCAAGGATTAGAGGATAAAATTATTGATAAACAACGAGATGAATTATTTGAAACACTTTCTATTTCAAATTTTGATAGAGAATTTTTGCATTCACTCATTTTTCTAGATGATGCCGTGAAATCAAAACTAATAACAAATGAGAAATCATATTTTAATCAGTTATTAACTCAATGTCGACACATTCAGTGTTCATTCTTCATGGCTGTTCAATACTTCAAAGCATTAAGCACAAACATTAAATCAAATCTATCAACCCTTTTCATTTTCAGTGGGTTTAGTCGTCAACAGTTGAACGTTATGCTTTATCAAGTGAATTTACCAATGAGCATTAATGAACTTTACACACAATATCAGCAATTAGGTGAACATGGGAAAATAATAGTTGATTTAAATAAAGGTTCCATTAAATTTGATTAACTTTTTATAATTAATTTTTATTTTTTATTTATAATTAAACATGACAGAAATAGCAAATCTTCTACAGGTTCCATTAAAACAAGGGACAAACAAAAAGGGTGCATATAATAGAACTATGAAAGTTCCAGACGGAATGAAAGAATTAGTCCACATTGTTGCCGGTCTTCAAAAGGATGTTAAACAAATGAGAAACGTTTTAACATTACCAGAAGCTCAAGCATATGCCAAACGTCATGGACCAAATTGGGAAGCACGCGAAGCAGACATTACGGGTCCAAATGGAAAACCTGATGGTATAAATGAAGTTTTCGTTACTGATGGTCAAGGTAATATTAAAGTCATAAATGGTTATAAATTAACTATGTCTGATTATCCTAAACGTAAAGCATATAATGAACGTTATCCTATACAATTTGATGAAAATGGAAAAGCTGTTAAACAATACATTGGAGAAGGTGAACATGGTCCAATTAATTCATACCGTCATAATCCATATTCTTATTTCAATGAAGAATTAAATGCTATTGAAGAGGACGGATGGATTACCACGATATGTTAATCAGTTTGATGGTCAATATGCAAATTTGAGACCTGAAATTCCAGCTAAGAAATTCTTTAAAGTTGCTTTATTCGATCCAGTGTTCAATGAACAGAAAAGAAAGCAGAAAAGCAGAATTTAAACCAATTCAAGTGGCAAGAATTTCTTCATCTTCACTTTCAGAAGCGTTCAAGGAATTGATAAAGAAACCACTTTATTCTCAACAAGGTTATAACTTTGATTTAATTAAAGAAAGTGATAGACGTAAATTAGAAAAATCAATGGTTTTAAGAATGCATGTAATGAAATGATTAAAGATATTGTAAATGATAAAATAAGACTGGAAGAAACTCAAAGCAATATCAATAACAT